CCACCTTCTGCTTGGCTGTTAAAGCCCTTCACAACCTGGCCCCTTGTTTTATTCTCCTCCTGATCCTCTACCGTTCTGTGCCACTGGCTTCTTTCCATCTCCTGACTCCCTATGGGCATTTCCCTGGCTCTCTCTCCCTCATGCTCTTCCTCCTCACCTCCGCCTACCAGCTTCCTGGCTTCTTTCAAGTCTCAGCTCAGATCCCACTTTCTGCAAAAGACTTTCCAAAGGTCCCCCTCAGTGCCAGCGCCTACCTTAGAGTCCCTCCAGATTAGCCTGTATGTTTTTCTTTTTTTTTGGTAAGGCAGTTGGGGTTAAGTGACTTGCCCAAGGTCACACAGCTAGTACGTGTCAAGTGTTTGGTCTGAGGCTGGATTTGAACTCAGGTCCTCCTGACTTCAGGGCCGGTGGTCTATCCACTGCGCCACCTAGCTGCCCTGAGAGATAGCTTTGATAACATTGGTGTTGGGAGACAGAATTAACATTTGGATGTTAAGCTAGCTACCTAGGAGTATGCTAACACACCTAGCTATGTCTGTTAATGGGTGTTGTTTTTACTGTGATAGTGTCTTTCATAGTAATGCCATTTGTGGTCAAGTTAAGTCAGAAAGCATTTTGTATTCATTCGTGTTGTCACAGGATTTTCCTCTGCTTCTCTGTTCTCCTTCTTAAATGTCACTTAGGGATCTAGGATTCCATATAACTTAGGCAGACGTTCTTGCTGTCTAATCCGTTCCCCTCTTGGCGAGATGCCCTGTTGGAGCAAGATGGGTGATATTGCAACCGTTAGAATTTCCCAGGTGCTTCCTCTTCTCTTCTGACATCTGTCTCTCCTGCCCTTGTAGGTTGGCGGGATTAAACCTGGGTGCTTTAAAATTGGAAACACTGGTGGAATGCTGGACAACATTTTGGCGTCTAAACTGTACCGGCCTGGCAGTGTGGCCTATGTTTCCCGCTCTGGGGGCATGTCCAATGAGCTGAACAATATCATCTCCAGGACCACAGATGGTGTCTATGAGGGTGTGGCCATTGGGGGGGACAGGTAACTGTCAGCAGGCCCAGAGAGATGAGCTGGCCTGAGGCATCTAGGGGGTTTTAAATTTAGTGGGGAAGTGAATGTAGGCTGAGGGGCAGGAGACTCGAGTTCTGTAGTCTCAGCCCTCTGTCTGATTCTTGCACAAGTTACTTAATCTCTTTAGACCTCAATCTGGCAGTCTGCTTACTTTTCCTCACAAGATTGTTGGAAATGTAAATTCAGATATTTTAAAGATTGGTGATTTCATTAGTGTGGGTATCCCACCACTGTTAAGATCAGAGCCTCATTCATATCTTAGTACATGGCCTCAATGAGTGGTTTATAACAAAAAAAAAAAATTGTCATCAGTCATTACGCCGAGCCACCGGTGATGGACCTCTACAGCTGAGTGAGGCTCAGCCTTGGACAGTCAATACAAAGTCCACAGCCTGAGCTCATGGTGGCCTGAAATAGATTTCTAAGCCTCAAACTCATCCTCACATTACAGTGAGGCATCTGAGAATAAAATACTAGATAGGGAAAGTGTTTTGTGGAAAAAAAAATGTAAATGTTCCATCAAGGTAACAAATAGTTGCCTAAAATAAATGTTGTTGGGGGCCTAAAAAAGCCCCTTCCTCCAGAACAACTCATATCTATGCTGGTCCAGATAATAACAATAACTAACATTTATCTAGTGCTTTTTATGTGCCAGCTACATAAAATTGCACTTTGCAATTCTTACCTCATTTGAGAAATGATTTGATAAATGGGGAGGTTCTGAATTAAGATCTTTTGTATATGATCTCTGGTCGCTCTCTCAAGAAAGGAATAGCTTAAACTGTTAGTGAGGTTTTTTAGTTGGTTTTGGGGGAAAAGCAATCGAGGTTAAATGACTTGCCCGTAGTCACACAGCTCGTAGGTGTTTGAGGCCAAATTTGAACTCAGGTCCTCCTGTCTCTAGGGCTGATGCTCTGTTGTGCCACCTAACTGTTCCTAAACTGTTATTGTTAACATTTTCCACCAGGACTACATTGAGACTTTAGTGTGGTTTATAAGTTTATTAGTACCTCTAGTATGGTTTATAAAATTTCATTTTCATTCACTATAAACTTAGTTAAAGCGCATTTCAATGTATTGTGCTTTAAAAACAAAAGAAACACAAAACTTTCTTCTGACCCCTTTTATCATCTCTTACCTTCAGATACCCAGGCTCAACATTCATGGACCATGTTTTGCGTTATCAAGACACTCCAGGAGTGAAGATGATTGTGGTGCTTGGGGAGGTAAGGCCTTAGTTCTTACCCTGATCCACAGCTCTGGGGACTTGGGGATTCAGAAATTTCATCATAATGAGAGGCAGTAGAGGGCAATATAGAGAGAGTGCCACCCTAAACGCAGGAAGATGACCCAGATTCAAGTCCTACTTTTAGGTTACTCTGGGCAAATGGCTTCTCAGTGCCTGGGGCAGCTCTTTAAGACTTTATTTTACAAATGACTTGCGAGTGTGCGTTGATAAAAGGAGTTTCCACATAGGATGTCTTTCCTCCTCTGTCCCCTTGCCCCAATACTAATGAAGTCACAGATCCAAATCAAAAAAATAAGAGAATTCCAGCACCATTACCAGAAAAAAGGAAGGGCAATCCTACTTAGCTGTGGCTGGGTGACACAATTCTGGCTGGCCAGTATCATTTCCTAGTGGGGAGTGGATTTAGATTTCTAGAGTTGGAAAAGTCATTCCATCTGGCTTCATCCCTCTAGGTAGTACATCTATTTCTAAATCATCCTATTTTTTTCCTATAATTTTTTTGTCAATTAACAAAGATCTATTTTTCTCTCCCTTTAAAAAAAAAAAGGGAAAAACCCTTGGGACAGATATGCCATCAAGCAAAACAGATTCCTGCATTAGTCTAAATCAATTCAAGATGAGAGCAAGGCATCTCTCTTATTTTGAAACATTTCTCAGTACCTTCCTTAGCCTACTTTTCACATTATTCTAACTTTCAGCCGTTTTTTTTTTTTTGTTGTGTCTTACTTGCATCCCCCATTACGAAATTTAAGGTCCCTTTCTTCTTATGTGACTCAGTAGAGAAAGAACAGCATTAGAGCTGTAGTGATGCTTAAAACAAGGTGTTGTCTGATTCTGTTGTCCTCCTGGTGTTCAGATCCATTTGTTGGGGAGGGAAGATTGGGGGGAGGTGGGGTGGCTTGTGGGAGAGTGGTCCCCTCGTCTCTGCGTTATCTTTTTTTTATTTATTAATTTGTTTTTAGTTTTCAACAATCACTTCCATATGCTTTTGAGTTTTAAATTTTTTTCCCCCTCCCTTCCCTCATCTCTCCCCAAGAGGTGTGCAATCTCATATAGGCTTTACATATACATTCTTATTAAACATTTTCACATTAGTCAGTCCCTGTATTATCTGAGAGGGTTTTGGAACCAAATTGCCCTCTGCTTCTGAAATGTGCAATTTATTTTTATTTTTTTACCAATGAGTGTTCATGTCCCACTTCTTTCTACCCTCTCTGTAGATAGGGGGCACTGAGGAGTATAAGATCTGTCAGAGTGTCAAAGAAGGCCGGATCACAAAGCCTGTTGTCTGCTGGTGTATTGGTACCTGTGCCACCATGTTTTCTTCTGAGGTATGTGTTATCTTGTGTTATCGCACCTTTCTCCTCCTGTGGCTCCTTCTGTCTTCATTTAGCTCATACCCTGTCCTCAGAAGCTGTCAGCAAGCATTTATTAAGCACTTGCTGTATGACAGACACTATAAGTATATACAGAATGAATACAAAGTCAGATACAAGGTACTTGGGTCGGGAGAAGTCAGGAAAAGCATTGTGTGGAAGGTGGTGCTTGAGCCTCATCCTGAAGGAAGCGAGAGCTTATGTTAAAAAGGGAATGTATATGAGGCATAGGGTAGCTAGGTGGCCTAGTGTGAGTGTGAAATCAGGAAGGCTCATGTTCCTGAGTTCAAATCTGGCTTCAGACACTTACTAGCTGTGTGACCCTGGGCAAGTCATTTAACCCTGTTTGCCTCTATAAAATGAGCTGGAAGAAAAGGCAAATCACTGCAGTATCTTTGCTAAGAAAACTCCAAATAGGCTTAAAAAGAATCAGACATGACTAAAACGTGATTCAATAGCAACATTTGAGGCATGGGAAAAGACCAGTGCAAAGGCCTGGAGATGGGAAATGGAGGGCCGTATATTAGTGTAATTTGTCTAAAATGAAGAGTGATAAAAGTAGAATAAGGCTGGAAAGAGGTTAGGGCCAAGTTGTTTAGGTCTTCAAAAGCCTAACAAGAGAAATTTATATTTGAGCCGAGAAGCAATAGGAGAGTAGGGGAGTGACATAGTCATGTCTGCCCTTAGGAAAATCATTTTGCAAGCTATGTGGAAGATGGATTGGAGTGAGGAGACTTGAAGCAAGAATTAAGAATCCATTGCAATTGCAATCTTATAGATGACTGTGGGCCTGAATTAGGATGGCAGCGATATGAGTAGAGAGCAGGGATTGGATAGAAGAGATTTTGTGGAGGTAGAAACAGCAAGATTTGCAGTTGATTGGATATATGGAAGTAAAAGAGAGAGAGAAGTTGAAGATATGAACCCGAGAGAGTGGAAAAATAGTAGTACCCTCAACCAAAATAGGGAGGGTTTTGAGAGAAAGACAATGAGTTGGTGATATTTACAGATCATCCAGTTTGAAATGTCCAATACGTAGTTGATAAAATGGGACTGGAAGTCAGGAAGGAGGTGAGGGCTGGCTGTGTATATCTTTAAGTCCTCTGCATAGACGTGATCATTAAACCCACGGGAGTTGATAAGGTCACCAAGAGGACCCAGGACAGATCCTTAGGGCACACCCACAGTTAGGGTCATTATCTGCCTGATCAGAATGTTGTTAATGAGCTCCTCATTATGTGGGCACCGCCACTATTGTTGGCATTTTAATGACAGATGTTCTAGGCCAGCCAGGCTAACAACCTTTCTGTTAGAAGGTCTCTGCTTCTGAAGTCATTTGAATCTGCACACAATGACTCCGTCCTATTACTCAGATTCGCAGAGGAGATTAGTGTACAGAAGGCCCATTTATTAGTTAATTGAAAGGAATGACAACACCAAGCTGAACCTTGAGTCTTCAAGGCATCTGGACAATATATGGAACTGTGTATGAAATAGAATTAAGATTGAAGGGTTGTTTAAAGAACATGGAAGAATCCCAAATCCAAGAGATGGGTGTTCTAAGAGATGATCTCCTCAGGCTGTGATAATCTAATAAGCAAATGATCTCTGCCACAGGAAATGCACCCTCTCCTATTGTAGACTGCTATCAAGGCCTCTTCCAAGCTGAGCCTTTTTTCAGTACTCAGAAAACTGTCCCTCCTTTCTAAACCCACCAAAGTCTTTAGATCACATCACATTTTTTCTCATGATGAAAAAATTCTCATAAATTGTAATGTCAAATAACTGTGATTAAATCCCTAGCTTCAAAGAACTAAATTCCCAAAGTTCTTGGTCCTGATTGCTTGAGGGCGGGAAGAGAGGCTCCAGGGGCCTGTGAAGCCTTTCCTGCCTTTTCATTGCTCCTGAACTTCTCTCTTCTATGAATGCCTCTTAGCGCTTGAGCTCTGCACCAGACTCTAGCACCGTGTGCATTGAGCTCGATCACTGCTTGCAGTCATGAACATCCACTCAGCACTTGATTACATATCTTCTTGCATTATCCACCAGCTGTTATGTTCCCCAGGTCCCCACTTAGAGATGACTCCTTTGATTATTACCTCCTGGAGACTTTCCCAGAAGCCATCCTGTGGTGACCTTTTGAAAATTTTAATTTATGTAAAACTATTCACTTTGGGCAAGCTATTTGATATCTTTGTGAAGTTTGGGGATTATGTAAGCAAAAAGATTGAGAATTTCAGGGTATGATGAAAGACTCTTAGAGTAAGATGAGATAAATTTAGAGGAAGAGAGAGATGGCCAGTCTGTTGCCCAGAGTCCCCAAAGGGGAGGAGGGTACATTTCTCTTCTTCTTGGTAAGAGGAGCCTTAGGAATAGTCTTTGAACGGGCCAGTATGTGCTTCATGCCTAGTGTAGCTAAGATGTAACTCATTCTTTTCATACTGGGATTTCTTGATTTCTGAGATCTTCTAGCCCAAGGGTTCTTTAGCTATGGTCTATTAGCTTTTTTTCTGTTTTCTTTTTTTTTTTTTTGCTAGGCAGTGAGGTTAAGTGACTTGTTCCAGGGTCATACACAGCTAGTAAGTGTTAAGTGTATGAGGCCAGATTTGAACTTAGGTCCTCCTGAATCCAGGGCTGATGCTCTATTTTTTAAATTTTATTTTCTAAATTAACCAAAATTTTTCCTTCTCCCCCTCCATTGAAAAAGAAGAAAAAACAAAGCCTCTATAACAAATTATTTTATATTATGCATTTTAAAATGTTATTCCGAGGAGTCCATAAGTGCACCAAGAAGTTCAGTAGCCCTGCCTAAGCTTATAACTGTAATTTATGAGTACGCTCCCAGGCCACTGCTGTCCTCTTCCTCAGTCATGAAAAGATACATAGAACACAGGTTGCTATGAAACACTTACAATAGTCTTTTGAAACTATTTAAAACAGGAAGTGATGGTGAAGTGATTCAGGATAGAGTTAATGATCAATCAGTCTGTCATGGAAGTTCTTTCCCACTTGACAAGTCTCTGCCTTTTATATTAACTCCAGATGTGTCTTGTCTAGCTCTGTGATGGTGAGGGTGGTGATGTCAGTGGTTAGTGATTTTAAGGATTAAAGAAGATTGGTCAATATTGTGTACCCAACTGTGGGCATGGCATGGGAGTCCCCAACTTTAATGTGGGGGAACACAGCTCCTGGGCCTGAACCTTTTTCCATCCAAGAGGCTTCGCCTTTTGTGTGTCTTGGTGCCCTTGGGCAAAGTCTGGAGGTGAGCCCTTCTCAGAATAACATTTTTAAATGCATAAAATAAAAAACAGGATTATAAGGAAAACCAGTTCTATTGAAATATAGTTATGAAGATACTTTTAAAAAGCAAGTTCCTGGAACCCCTGTTCTAGATCATAAGCTGCTTTGGGAAAGGTACTATTTCACCCAGTCTTATTTCATGTTTGGGTCACCAATGCTTAGCCAGCTTCCTTTGCCCATAATAGGCACACAATACTTTTTTAAAAACTGAAATCCTGAATGAGGCTTACAAAGCGCATATTAAAAAAAAAATACTCAATGACACTTTCAGAGTAATGGACAACTGAGTCTAAATGTAGAATAAATGGAATAGATAAGTCCCAAGGGGGTATGTAATTGAGGAATGATCAGAGTGCACGGAGCCTAATTGGGATGGGGCCTCTGGGAGTTAGTTCTTATGAGCTGAATTTTAGAGAAGGAAAGAGATCGTTTGACAGTGGACTCTCCACCATATTAGAACTGCTGTTATATTCTGATAGAATGTAAGCTCTTGGAGGCCAGGCATCATTTCACTTTTGCATTTGTACCTCCATTATCCAGCACAATGCCTGGCACATAGTCGTCACTTAATAAATGCTGGTTGATTACTTAATTCAGAAGTGTCATACACACAGCCTGCCAGATTAAAATGTAATTGGGAAATAGTTAACAAAATAACTAAAAATAAAATAAAACATAGATAATGTTTGTAGGTGGTTTTCTATGTCAGTGTGTAGCCCTTGGGATCCTTATGTACAGTTCAGTGACTTGGAGTTTGACACCCCTGTTTTAATTGATAATGAGCTCTTCCTGCACCCAGCTTGACTCCTTTTCCTACGCCATCTTCGTAGGGCGAAAAGACAATTTAAAGACAGATAAAAAGGAGTCTTAGCCACATAGCAGGTAGCAAACATGCAACCTGAGAGATAGTACAGGCCATGATCCCAACAGGCTCACCAGGGATTTCTTTATTAGACTCTTTCTCCCAGAAGACGGTTATTAACACGTCCTCTTGGTGCCGTTGTTCACAGTGACGTCAGACTTGGTTCTATCCAAATTTCCAGGCTGAAGGGGCTAGTGATCTGATCCAAGCTCACGTTTCTTTTTGCTCCTGTGATATTTTTTTTTCTCCCTTTGTTGGTTGGGAGGGTGGAGGTTGGAGGGAGTTAATGAAGGAACATAACACCACTTTTGTCATGTCACTTTCCAGGTGCAATTTGGCCACGCCGGTGCTTGTGCCAACCAGACCTCAGAAACAGCCGTGGCAAAGAACCAGGCCTTGAAGGAGGCAGGAGTCTTTGTGCCCTGGAGCTTTGATGAGCTCGGAGAAATCATTCAGTAAGCTGGCTGTGTGTTATGGGAGGGTGAGGGGTGGCACAGACTTCTGAGATGTAGAGACCCCCTTAATCAGCCTGCAAATATCCAGAGTCCTGATTTTATTATTTAGAAAAGTGGCAGGGATAATCCAGTGTGCTCATGTATCTTAACCATGTTGTTTGAGGGGTTTGGAGCTGTAAAAACGCTTTTTAATTTCTAAAAAGTTTATTTTTATTTTCTCCTTTCTTCCACCCCTCCCCCCCAATTGAGAAGGCAAGACATACAATATCCATTATACATGTGAAGTCATGCAAAACATATTTCAATATTAGCCATTTTTGGGGAAGCATGAAAAATAGAGGAAAAACCTCTGCTTCAAACAGTAGAGTCCATCTGTTCTCTCTCTGGAGGTGGATGGCATTTTTCATCATGAACCCTTTGGAATTGTTGTGGACCATTGGATTGATCAGATTAGCTCCGTTTTTCTCAGTTGATCATTACAGTATTGCTGCAGCAATATATTATTGTGTATGTTGCTCTCCTGGTTTCACTTCACTAAGTCTTCCACAGTTTTTCTGAAACCGTCTCTGGGGCTTTTTAAAAAGCTGAAGCAGCAAGATTTCTCTTCCTGTTTGTTTTGATCTAGTTGATATTAAAATGACTTTGCATTTCCCGAGTGTATATATCAGATGAGGGCTCTGGCTAAGGGGAACATGGGTCCAGATGCATGCTCAGGCCTAATATCTTTTATAGATCATTCACAAATAACTAAGAACTGACTTCAGTTCCCAATGCTGTTCCTTTCTTCCATCTCTTAATCCAGTTTGTATTTATGATTCATATGCCTCTCCATTTAAAATCACTGAGGCTTAGGTCCCAGGAAAAAAACTTAATTAGAGGCAAAAGGTGGTTGTTTTTTTTTAATTGTTTACATTTGAGGGAGCCTTCCACCTGTTTTTAGATTTCAGGGCTGTGATAATTGATGGGACTAGGCTGGGGAAGGCTAGACTGAACCATGAGACTTGGGGGAAAGAGGGCCATTACTTAAACTGCTTAGAGCATCCCCTCTTTCTGAAAGGCATGTCATTTCTGCATCTTAACCTTCTCTTCCCTTTTCCTGCCCTTCAGGAATGTGTATGAAGATCTTGTTGCCAAAGGAGTCATTGTACCTGCTCAGGAAGTCCCTCCCCCCACTGTGCCAATGGATTATTCCTGGGCCCGGGTAGGTAATTGATTGTATCCGTTGTGTCAGCAGACAACCAAAGGTTTGGGAAAGGTCAGGAGGCCTTAGTCTGAATCCACAGGGGAGTGGTTACAGATTGCTTCCTCCCGCTTTATTTTGACATAGGGTCTCTCTTCAGGATTTGTAGTATGAACCAAAGGGTCATACTACTAATGTGTCTCCACGAAGTTCCTTGGGGAAATGTATCTAGGAGTCTCACCAAAGGATGACTTGGGTGTTTTGACTACTGAGTTATGGTCACTCTTGCCTTGTGATAGGGTCTGGAGTCTGAAGGTGACACATTGAAAACTCAACGCATAGAATAAATTCCAGGGATGCTTTATCCTAAATTACTCGAATAACTGCATCTTTGTGTGGTTGGCCTAAAAGGTTCTGGTTCAGAATGGGCATAGGGATGGCAGAGCCTCGAAGTAGTTCTGAATTTAGGGCAACCCATTGCAAGCCACTTGGACTTTAGAAGGGCAGAGGCAGGTTGCCATTAAGGAGTAGCTTTCTCAAACTATTGGATTTTCTCAACATCACAAATTTATTTCAGTCTAGCTGTTTGATAAGTACAAAGGGATGAAGGTAAAGACTATATGAGGAAAGAAAAGGCAACCTTCCCAGAATAGGGGAAGCATGTCAGATATAGTTCTAAAAGTCAAGTGTGACCCAGGTCCTGCTGCTTCTCCACCCTTAAAAGAAAAGTAAATATTTCAGAAGAGACCCAGGTCTATGCCCCTGGGTATGGAGATAGTTTCATGACGAGAGGGAAGGAGGGGGCATGGCACACATGGGCTGAGTACCATTATCCTCTGCTTAGAAGTTTTTCTCTGTGCTGTGATCTCTAGGAGCTAGGCTTAATCCGTAAACCAGCTTCCTTCATGACCAGCATCTGTGATGAACGAGGGCAGGAGCTCATCTACGCAGGCATGCCTATCACCGAGGTCTTCAAAGAGGAGATGGGCATTGGAGGAGTCCTGGGACTGTTGTGGTTTCAGAGGAGGTGAGGGGCCACTAGAGAAACCAGTGAAATGTTGATTTTTTAACCTGAGAAAAAGGTAGGGCAGGAAATTGAATAGAACTCTGAAATGGGCTTTGTGCCTTACAAAATGTTAATTGTGTGACTGGAGAGAAACAGATACAAGTTATTTTTTCTCTTCACTAAGAACCAAGAGACTAAATCCTACAACAGGAAGAATGGAGAACTAACTATAGGGGGGGAAATGTTGAAAGCAAGATCCATGATCTCATCCGTATGGGTACTGCCTTCCCTGGAAGGCACCACACTCCACATGTTGCCTGCTGGGTAGGATCCAACAGTGTCTACACTCTGCCAGCAGTCTCCACGGATGTTATGAAGCTAGAACTAAGGACCTCGAGTTCTCCAAGACTTTGCCAAATTGGGGTGGGGTATGTGTGAATCTGGGGGGTGGGGGTGGGCATAGTCCTTCCTAGAGGCAGTAGAAAGCACGTGGGTGACATGGTAGCTCATTGTTTGTTTTTTACGATCCTGTCTGACCAGTGAGTTGTCAAGGGGCAGGAATAGGGTAGCAGATACATTGTGTGCATCCTGTGTATCAGTAAGCATCTGTGTCATCAACATGAATGTTAGAGTAGTCTTTTTTTTCCCCCCTGCAACTCACAAGACCAGCTGGACCCTTTCTTGGGCTTGACAGCTAAGCAAAGGCCCATTGAGTATGTGACCCAGAGAAATTTTGAGCAAAGTGGCATTGGTTACCATTGGGGTCTTAATGTTTGTCACTAAACTACTTTTCCCTTCACTGCTTCCCTAAAAGAATTCGAGGGATTATACCTTAACAACTTTAATGGGATCCTTTCAATACCCTGTTTTGGTCATAGGTTTTTTTTTTCTTTCTCACTGGCTTGAGAGTGGGTGTGTCCTACAGAACAGTCACACTGAAAAGTAGGGGGAAGGAATTTTTTTGGTGGTTGTTCAGTTATTTCATACTAGCACACAGTACTGTCCGTAGGGTTTTCTTGGCAAAGATACTGGAATGGTTTGCCACTTCCTTCTCCAGATGTGGAACTGAAGCAAACAGGGTTAAATGACTTGCCCAGGGTCATGTAGCTTCTAAGTGTCTGAGGCTGTATTTGAACAGACCTCCAGGCCCAATGTTATATCCACAGCATCACCTAGCTGCTTCTCTGGGGAAAGCGATGCTGCCTTCTTTTTCATCAATACATAAAAAGTAACCCTGAGTATAACTTAGAATAAATGATAACATAATTAAGATTGCTACATGGCCAAAAGATTTCCAACCTCCAAGTAACTGCCTTCTCATTTAAACAAACCAACATTTTTAATACAGACAAATTCTAATACAACAAAAAAGTGAGTCGGATTTGGAATTTTGTTTCAATATTGGACCTGTATTAGGATGCTCAGACCCTTCTTGAATTTTAATAATAACTTTTGGAGAGCAATGAAGGAATGTGTTGTCACTCTTTAATAGTACAGCATGGCATAGTGAATCAAGGTCCTAGGTTCATTTCCTGCCTCTAAAACATGCTAGGTATGTGATCGTGGTCTAATCACTTCATTTCTCAGTGTTCTCCAACTATAAATTTACAAGGCAAGTTACAATATGATGCATTGGTAGAGCTAAGTTCCAACACTAATGAAGTGGACAAACTAGAAATTTTATTTATCTTCCTCTTATTCTGACTTTTTTTTCCCCTTTCCTTCTGTCCTTAATGTTTTAAAAAAAAACCTTTTAAATAATTTATTTTTTAAATAAATTTTATGAATCTCTTTTGTTTTTATATCGCCTCCCATTTTCCACTATATTCCTCCCCAACTCTTGCTTGAGAGCCACCTTTTATAATAAATATTTAAAAAAAAAAAAAAGGAAGATGGGTAATGGGTAATTTAGCAAAACTAATCAACATTGAGAAAGTATCATGTTATATGCTATGTTCTACATCCATAGTCCCTTACCTCTACAAAGAAGGTGGGAAGTGTCTGCTCATATTTCTTTTTTGGGGACCAAACTCAGTATATTTTAATGCCATTCGGTTTTGGTTGTTGACCTTTCCATTTTACATTGCTGTACTCATTGTATGTTGTTTTTTTGGTTCTGCTTGAGTTATCAGTTCGTATAAACCTTTCCATGCTTCTTCATATTCATCATTTCTTACATGACACTAATATTCCACTACATCCATGGGCCATAATTTGTTGAGCCATTTCCTGAGAATACTTTTTGTGTATTGCTGTAAATATTTTGGTGTATCTATGGGACCTTTCTTTTTCTCATTATCCTTAGGGATATATACGGCTAACAATGGGTTTTCTAGGCCAAAGGGTAGATAAACATTTTAGTCACTTTCTTTAAATAATCCCATTGCTTTCTAGAATGGCTAGACCAGTTCATAGCTCTACCAACAGTATATTAGGGTGCCCTCTGACATCGACTATTTCCATCTATTCTTAACTTTGCCAATATCCTGGGACTAAAGTGAAACTTCAGGGTTGTTTCAGTTTGCATTTGTCTTATTGAAGCTTTGCTTGTTGGCTGGAGTATTCTTTTACATGGTTGTTAATATTTTGTAAATCTTATTTGGAGAATCATTTGTTCATATCTTTTGACCACTTATCCCTGGTGTTTTCAATGTTCCTTAGGTTGCCTAAATATTCTTGCCAGTTCATTGAGATGTGCCTGATGGTGACGGCTGATCATGGTCCTGCTGTCTCAGGGGCCCACAATACCATTATCTGTGCCCGAGCTGGGAAAGACCTAGTCTCTAGCCTTACGTCAGGGCTACTCACAATTGTAAGTTATCGTCATCTGATTAAGTCATGAAATGTTCACAAAGGTTTAACCTGGCCACATTTTGTGCTAAGTATTGGGGGGTTTGCAGAGGTAAAGAAAATCTGATCTTTGCTATCAAGAAACTTAGTTTGGCCCTGAGGATAAGACACGTGCACAGATAAAATAAAAATTAGAATGCACATGTATATAGAAGCTAATAAAGTGCCCATGAGGTCAGAGGAAGCAAAGAGCACTTCTAGTTGAAGGATCAGGGAAGGCTTTAGAGAAGAGAGCATTTGAGCTATTCCTTAAAGCATGGAGAGGATGTCAGTAGTCAAGAATTGAGGTGAAAGATTCTATGAGTGGCAGCATCTGGCCTGCTAACATTAGCTCTCCCTATGTATGGAACTCTTTGCTACATGTAATAGAAAGCATCTCTACCTTCCAAGGTGTCCCTGCCCTTGTGCTACTTTAAAAAGTGCCTTGGAGGGGCAGCTGGGTGGAGCAGTGGATAGAGCGTCGACCCTGGAGTCAGGAGGACCTAAGTGCAAATCCAGCTTCAGACACTAACTAGCTGTGTGACTCAGGGCAAGTCACCTAACCCCAGTTGCCTCAAAAAAAATAAAAAAGTGACTTGGAATGGGGGGAAACTGGGAGAAACTCCTTATCACCGAAGGTGACGTAAGGGTTTATTTCATTCAGGGAGACCGCTTTGGGGGTGCTTTAGATGCAGCAGCCAAGATGTTCAGCAAAGCCTTTGACAGCGGCATCATCCCCATGGAGTTTGTGAACAAGATGAAGAAGGAAGGAAGACTTATCATGGGGATTGGTCACAGAGTCAAGTCAGTAAGTGGCATCATTCTGCGCAGGGAGCGCCATCTCTGTGGGAGGGGGTGTGGCTGGAGCAGAGGACCTGAGGCTCCTCCCGGCCCTGCTGCTGTGATCCTGTGAGACAGGTGTTCCCCGTCCTCCAGAGCTCTCCCTCTGAGCCAGCCTCACTGCGTCTTGTGTCAATTTTCAGATAAACAACCCAGACATGAGGGTTCAGATCCTTAAAGATTACGTCAAACAACACTTCCCCGCCACCCCCCTTCTGGATTATGCGCTCGAGGTGGAGAAGATCACCACTTCCAAGGTAAAAATACCGTTAGGCAAAGTTTAGACGTGGGCCAGGCTTGTCTGAGGATAAATTTGAGAAGAAAACATGTGACGCTGAAATCAGACACCTTGTATTTTGGGTCACTTGGTACTGTCCTCTTGACCAAGTGGATTGGTGCTGCTTTTTGATGTGGTAGCTGGAGAAGAGTTGAGAAGATGATGTAGCTCTCCCTTCGTGGCAAGGGCTGGACTCTTATGGATGTAGAATAGTATGTATTCTGTTAGATGGGGTTGAAGTGTTGGTTTTGCTGAATTGTTTGTTTTTTTTTTTCCAACTTCTCTGTTACAAGAGAAGGCTTGCTAGGTAAGGGAAGGAAGAGGAATATATTTGGAAATGAATGTGATGTGAAAACAAAAGACAGCAATAACAGTATTTTAAGAGGTGGTCAGTCCCTGCTGTAACATAGACCTCTTTTTTTAGGGGACTAGCATTACCAATTCTTAGATGTACTTTAAAACAGTAGTTGTACACAGTTGTTGGGGTACTATAAACAAGATTGAATAGTTAGTGTAATAATAGCCAGCATTTACAGAGTGCTTTTAGGTTTGTAAAGCACTTGGTAAACATTATCTCGTTTGATCCTCACAATAACCATGGGAAGTAGGGTCATTATTTACAGATGAGGAAACTGTGGCACAGAGAAGGTAAATGACTTGCCCAGGGTCACAGAGCCAGTAAGTGTTTGAAGTAGGATTTGAACTTAAGTCTTGCTGACTCTAGGTCCGGCACTCTATCCACTGCACCTAGAATAAGAACTCAAATAGAATTCAATATATATTGAAGATTAGTGTGTAGGTAACCCACAATTAAACACTGGACAGCATGGTGAAGAGGAAAGAATGTTTTACTACTTATTACCTTTCCTCATCTGTAAAATGAGGGAGTGGAACTAGAAGATCTCATAGGGCCCTGTTAGCCCTAAATCTAGGATTCTGAAAATGGGATTCAATTAAAAATTGGAGGAATTGGGTTTGTATCCACATACCACAATAAACTTCTAACTTGATGAATGATCTAAGCTTGAAAAAATCGGTTTGTTATCAATCAAAATGGGCCATCATCGTCAGAGACGTCACCAGGTTTAGAATTCAGTGACAGATACCTCTTCTTTAAAAAGTAGGACTAAAAAGAAATCACACTGGATAGCTGAAGGAATAACAAGAACTCTTTTTGTTTGTTTTTCACATTCTCAGAAGCCAAATCTTATCCTGAATGTCGATGGTTTTATTGGAGCTGCATTTGTGGATATGCTTAGGAACTGTGGCTCTTTTACCAGGTGAGTCATGCAGGCCTCTTCTGTCTGTTTTCCTGTTTATGCTTTTCTTGATGGGGAAAGAGAACCTAGGATGTTTTTCATGGGGACAAGAGGCTTTCAGAACCCGGAGTGGCTGCCTCTGAGACTTGCCGATAAAATGAAGTGATCATTGCCCTTTTAGTATTTCAGGTTGGGCAATGCTCCTTAGCTTGGGAGTCTGTTGAGATAAGTTTTTTTTTAAAAAAAAATCCAATTTGGTTGTGTACGTTTGTTACAGGGAGGAAGCTGATGAATATATTGATATCGGAGCCCTCAACGGTATTTTTGTCCTAGGAAGAAGTATGGGTTTCATTGGTGAGTTTTTGCTTTTTGGTTTTCCGTAGGGTTTCTCTCGTTCTGCCAACCCCTACCATATTGCTTTAGACTGGGAGTCTTTCTGTAAAAGGAAAGTTATTACAATATAATTATTCTTGACACTTCTCCCTTTTATCTTCTCCATATATGACAGAAAGGTAGCCTTGGTGTCAGAAAGTTCAGTTCTTTCCTGTGATGTATGCTAGCTAGCTGTGTGACTATGGGCAAGTTGCCTGGCCTATAAGTCATGTCCAACTCTTTGTGACCCTGTTTTTGGATTTTTCTTGGCAAAGATACTGAAATGGTTTACCATTTTCTTCTCCAGCTCATTTGACAGATGAGGAACTGAGGCAGGCAGGGTTAAGTGATTTGCCCAGTCACACAGCTAGGAAGTGTCTGAGACCAGATTTGAACTCGGGTCTTCTGACTCCTGGGCCTGGTGTTCTATCTACTGCACCACTTAGCTGCCCCAGACAACTCTTTACAACTTTGTTATTGAAATGTTGCCTGGTCTGCCTAAGTGGAGGGAGTTTCCACAGTCAGAGTTCTACATACTGGTGAAATTACACATCTGGATCAAAAAGCAATTTAGAATATAGTGGAAAGGGGAATTTCCTTGGCATTTGAAAAACTTAGGTTTAAGTTGCTGCTGTGTTGTTTTGATTGAGTCTCTTATTACCCCTTTTTTAAAATACAAGGGGATCAGACCAGATTTTCTTGCCAGTCCTTCAGCTCTGATGGTTTAGAAAAGGACCTAGAGTTCCAATGTCACTAGCCCTAGATTATGGAAAGTCCAATTAAATTAACCAACAGTCTTCTTATCACCTAGTTAGGCTGTCTGAACTATCCATTAAGGGGATTTCCTGTTGAATGAAACTGGATTTCCTTCCCTCTCTTCTTCCTTATATCTGACCTCTTTCCCTTCCCCCCCCATCCCCAATTGAACTACTATTTTTTTGTTTTAAGAGAAGACATGCTTTTGCTCCATTTTTAGGGCATTATCTAGATCAGAAGAGGCTGAAACAGGGTTTGTACCGGCATCCTTGGGATGATATTTCATATGTTCTCCCGGAACACATGACCATGTAACAGGACAAGGAGCCTCATTCCAAGAGGGGGAAAGAGAAAACCTCTCCCTAAGATACAGTGCACACGCTTAGCACTGGAGACTGCTACCAGATGGACTGGAGCTTCAAGGAGCCATTGGTGTACAGAAATTAGAGACCAACATGTATCTATCTCTATAAGCTAACCCAGTTAAACTCACACAGAGAAGCTTAATATTTTTTTTATAAGCATAGAAGTGGAAGCAAATAAAGCCAATACTTGTGATGTTTCATATGCTACCTGCTGTATTTATTACATGGAAGCAACTGAGCACTGTCTGTATGCATTTTATTTCCTCATTGTAGAGTGTGTGTTTTTGTGTGATTATGTTGGCTTATTTTTATTTTCTTTTCCATTAAAAAAAATAACTTGGCTTTATCCTTTCCTTGGAGGAGAGGAAGGAATTCTGCTTAAAAACTGGACAGCTAGATTAACATGAAAAGAACTTAGAGTATCCTATTTCTCCACATATGCCTTGTCCTCCTCCTCCTAGAACATGAAGAGCATTGTTTGTGTTCATCTCTGATTTGGGGGACCTTTTGTTATTATTATTATTATTGTCATTGTTTCTGATATGCTGTATGTAAAAGGTTTATTGATATGTCCTCTCTGTGTGTTCAGTACTGCATTTCCAAGTCTGCTCGTGTGTGTTGCAGGGACAGGGGACCGTGGCCACCTCAGCCAGTGTCATGCCAAAACATGTGATGTGGTAGTTTAAAGTGTAAAGTTGTAACATACAAAAACTGTGAAAAGACCAGTATCTTACATACTTTGTATTTATGCAGCGATGGCTGAATTATTGTTCCATGGATCATTAGCTCTTGTGGCTGCACAATCTGTGTATGTAAAATGCAAAAGATTCTGGATAGCTGAATATCCTTTTGGTCCCTTCTCTGTATTATCATAGTCTGATTTAAATAAACAGTACAGTAACAACAAAAGCACTCTTTTCAGGTTGTCAGTGCGTCTAAATCCGTTCACCCAAGAATTTTACTTCAAAAAGATTGCATGTATGTATGGGTTGTTTTTTGTTTTTTCAGCCAGGGGTGGGGTAGAGGTGTATATGCATGTATTTGCATATATCAGAGGATGATAAATCATCCATTGATAACTCATGCCATGGAGGTGACTAAGTTCCCAAAAGGCTATGCCAGCAAAGTGCAGTCTGTAGGGACCTTAGGGATCCAGTTCCCTTATTTTATAGATAGAAGACTTTTGAGGAGGTATCATAGATTAAGTGACTTTTCCATGGTAAAAGAGAGAATAGGGCCAGGATTTGAAGTAAGTAAATATATTTATTAAGTGTCTGACTTCAAATACAGTCCTCTTTCCATTCCCCAGTGCTGCTTCTCAGAAAGTAAAGCCTAAGGAGCAATTGGGTGTCACAGTGGATAAAGCACCAGCCCTGGAGTCAGAAAGACCTGAGTTCAAATCTAACCTGAGATGCTTACTAGCTGTATAACCCTGGGCAAGTCGCTTAACCCTGATTGCATCCCAAAAGCTATATCTATATCTGCCTGTTTATGTATATACAAATAATATACACATATGTATATAGACATACATATATACATACACATATATTCTAGCTGAATGGGGAAGATTGCCAGAGGATTGGTTGTGAGATGATGAACATTTTGGAGAGAATGAATCTAGAAACCGTCTTGGGTGTGGGGGGCTTTATCTGCATTGGTTGGAGTACCAATCTAAGTGATCAGTCATAGAGTTTTAGAGTTAAGAACCTTATTATGTTCATTTGTGGGTTTCCATTTAGAAAGGATGCGATGATAAATTGCAATGTCCAGAGGTGGGCAACCACGGTGGGCAAAGGGCCTTGAGTCTGGCATAAAGTTTCTTAACCTGGGCTTGGTGAACTTGACTCAAAAGTATTTTAAATTATTTCCTTTGTGATCATATGTATACGTTTTAAAACATATTGAGAAACGGCCTGAATGCTGCTTCAGACTGCTAGAGAGATCCATGACAAAAAAGATTAAGAATCCTTGGTCTATGCCGCATAAGGTTAGGTTGAAGAACGGATTTTGAAATCTAGAGAAGAAACAGGACAGGATAGCTGTCTTTAACAAGACAAATTTTTTTTTTAATTTTTTTTCTTTTTATTCAGTATTTTACTTTTCCCCAGTTCCATGTAAAAACAATTTTTAATATTCATCTTAAAAACTCTGCGTTGTGCATTTTCTCCCGACTTCCTCCCCGCCCCCGCAATATTGACAAGTCAAGCAGTTCTATATAGGTTATACATGTGTAGTCATGCAAAACATTTTCTTTTTTTTGACGAGGCAATTGAGGTTAAGTGACTTGCACAAGGTCACACAGGTAGTAAGTGTCAAGTCTCTGATCTGAGACTGGTTTTGAACTCAGGTCCTCTTGACTCCAGGGCCACTATCCACTGTGCCACCTAGCTGCCCCTTGTGCAAAACATTTTCATAATAGTCATGGGAAAGAAAACAGACAAAAAACCTCAAGGAAGAAAAGTATGTTTCAGTCTGCATTCAGATACCATCAATTCTTTATCTGGGGATGGATAGCATTTTTCATCATGAATCCTTCAGAGTAGGATGAATATTCTTAAGGAGAGATTTGACTTGTTCTTAATTACAGAAAGAATTAGGAAGAATGGGTATAAGTTGCAAGAGAGGCAAATTTAGGTTTGATGTAAGGAGGAAAAAAACTTTAAAGCTATTGAAAAGTGGAATGGGCTGCCTTGGGGAAGGTAGTGGGTTCCTCATTGGATGTCTTCGAGCAGAGGCTATGGGACCACTTCTTGGGTGTGTGACAGTGGGGATTCCTTTAAGGAGCTTGCCATCCCTGTCAGGACCCTGTTATTCCTATATTTTAATTCATGGTCCAGACCTCCAAATCTTATTCTAAGAC